AGCATGTTTTTATTTTAAGTTAAAAAAACCCTCTGTGTTTGTGTCCTTTATAAAGTTTATATCTCCACTACCTGGCATTACATTTTATGACACACCTGGCCCAGCCCAACAAGGTCTCTTTATGTCAGATTCGGCCCTCATAACAAATGAGTTTGACACCCCTGATTTAGATGATGATTTGTGCCAAGAGGCTCCGTTTGTAAATGATGAATAGGACGAGGCAGAAGACTGCATAAACTTAAAGGCTCTGAGAAAACTACCTGGTTATTATTCTGATCCTGATTATTGTGAACAGGTCTTAAAAGAGGCCAGTAAAATGGGTACCTTCACTGATTTTAGGTTAGAAATCCATTTATATCCTGAACTTGTCAAAGGTACTCCCTAAGCTCCTCATATAACTATGGCTATTAAAGATGTGGAACATGATTGTTTAATTGATACTGGTGCAGCTATGTCAACCTTGTCCACCACTAACCTGCCTAGGTCTGTCCATTCAAAAACATTGGTAGGTGTGAACAGAAACCTTTTTCATGTCCTGTTACTAAAAGCCTGGATGTTAATATTGGACCTTTGTCTTTTGAACTTTTTTTTTTTTGTTTTGGATCCTCAAAGCCCCATAAATTTGTTGGGAAGAGACTTGTTATGCAAGATGAGGGCAACTTTAATTTGTGAGCCGGAAGAAATCTCCTTGTGTTTACCAGAAACCTCCATTCCAAAATTTGGTGGGAGTGCTCCAGGGAGAAGTAGAGACTGTACCCAGATTCCCGATGATCTGATTAACCTACCGAGTTCAATGTGGGGACATTCCAGCACAGAGGTAGGACTCCATAAGTCTCACTCTCTAAAGCAATATCTGACTCTTACCTAGAACAGGGAATTTTGGTTCCTTGCAAGTCTCCTTGCAATACTCCCGTGTTACCAGTCAAGAACCCAAAACGGGGTCCCAGTGGAGAAGTGGTATGGAGATTTGTTCAGGACCTGCACCCTATAAATGTGTATGTACAACCAACGCATAATATTGTTCCAAATCTTTATACCATTCTCACTAACATTCCAGCAAACACCTGTTATTCAGCTATACATTTGAGTTCAGCTTACTTTAATATTCCTATTTACTCAGACTCCCAATATATATGTTCATGTGAGAAGGACGTTTCCTAACGCCAATCAGATTGCCTCAAGGGTATGTGGAATCCCTCACTCTTTTTGCACAGATCCTAAAGAAGGATCTGGAAGATGTACAATTGCCAGCAAGGTCCACCCTGCTCCTTTATGTGGATAATTTATTAGTTTACTCACCTAGTCAGGAAGCTTGCAAAATGGACACAAAACAAAAATTCTACAACCAAAGAATGAGGCTTACCCCTTGTCCCTGTGCCTGCCAACCTCTCCCAGTCACTAGTTACGTTCCCAGGAAAATTATTCTGATTACACATGGACCAAATACCATTTCTCTACAAATAAGTACCTGGTGACCATAGAAAGGTGAGCCAAGAATTGTTCTGAGTGTGATGGTCCTGGCATCAACCTTGGATACAGTCGTTGTACCATGACCTTCCTCATGGGCAACAAGACCAAACAAGTGAGGATAGGTGTCCAGGTAACCAGGACCCAAACATCAATCTATGCAAATACGTAGATTGCCATGGGAATATATTCTGAACAAATGTCAAGAAATCTTGGGGCAATGCCATGAAAGAGACTCAATTTGGGAACTACTGGGTTTGTGGAGATAAGGCATACCACGTTTTCCCTGGGAACTGGTCAGGGTGCTGCTACCTAGCCAGGTTGGCACCCTCGGTAAGCATCCAAGAGCAGCTGCCCCAGGGCAAAATTTGAAATGATAGGGAGGCCATCGAACATGCAAAGCTACCAGCCCTTACTTGAAGGAAAATATTAGCTGGATGGGCTCATGTGCCCCCCTCATTCTATGTGCCAGGACCACAAAGGTCCCAGGAATGGCCATCCTCCGCCTCCAAGGTCGGGACAGTCTCATAAATCTAGCAACTGTGCAGCAAGAAAACCGCCAGCTAGCCCTCCAAAACTGCCTGGCCCTAGACATTATGAAGTCAGCCCAATCTGACTCTGGGAAATGCTCAGATGGTTTCTTTGGCAGTTTCAACCTATGGTCTTGACTGCCCACCTGGTTGCCAGATGTAGGGTGGCTCAAGTAACTCTTTGTGGCCCTCGTTGTACTGCTAGGCTTGAGGGTTGCCCTCTGTTGCCTTGCAGCCCGCTGTCTGCAGCTTTGCCCTGCTGTTCTGTCTCTGTATCGCTGTCCCTGCAGACAATCTGTAGGTGGTGAATATGTTCAGTTGAGGATGGTCCCTTGGACCCAGTGGGCCCTTCAGGATAGACATCTGAGCATTAGGGCAGCCATATTGGATCTTCATATACCCTGTGTTCCCTCTGCAAAAAGCAGAACTATGGATTTACGCTCAAAGACAGCTTATCTAAAGGAAGCTGGTGAGCAAATGTCTTGGTTAACAATTATTTCTAGGACTACAGCAGAAACCAAAGATGTTGCGGTTAACACAGACTGTTCCTTGGACTGTGCCGATGTTAGCAGTCAAAATTTACTTGAATCTTATGTATAGAAAACAGAAAAAAATGGTTGCACATGCTCAGATACTATGTAACCGATGCCTATAATTGTCTAACACACCCTTAGTTGGGTGTGGGTGCTTGCAGACTTATTTCTGTGCACATCTATCTGCCTAGCAAATAAATCTTTGAACCTGTTACCCAGGAGTCTTCCTGTTGGACCGCTAGCAAGACAAACAGATTTGGTGAATTGCATCACAACATGTAGGGTTGCCAAGTCCATTTTAGCCCCCCAGCGGGGGACTTTGGGGGGTGTTCCCGGAGGGGGCGGGGCATCCCCAACGTGATGACATCATGCTGGGGACGTCCGCTCCCCCCCTCGCCCACCCAATGGGCACGCAGGGAAACGCCAGCTCCCTGCACTTAAAGGGGCATATGAGTTACACCCAGGTATGCTCAGCTAAGAGAAGACATGTAGTAACCTTAGCTAGACTCATGGAACCATGCCTGGTATGTTGTTCTCAAGGTTTGCACTCTATCCCATTACAGGGACTTGCTGGCTAGGGTTGCCAGGTTCTTTCATTGTGCTGGTGGGGGGACTGGGAGAGGGGTTTTGAGGGTGGGAGGGGACATCACTGTGCTGACATCACTCAGAAGTGACCTTGGCACTTCTGGGATGGCACTCTGCTTTTTGGGCAAAACTCTATGGCAAAAACAATCTCAAACCATAGAGTTTTGCCAAAAAGCATAGTGTTCCCCCCCCCCTACTGATGTCCCTTTGGGGCGACATCAGCTGATCACCCAGGGTGTTGGGGTGGGCAGAATTCCCTCCGTCCAGCCAGCTGACTGGAGGTGGGCAGGAGCCCACTAAAGCCGGGAATCCCCCACCCCCACCTGGGCAACAGTATCCCTATTGCTGGCTGAATGCCAATCTTATCTAGTTTCCCTCTGACTACAGTTGGAAAACAGGCTGCAGGCAGGCAAGCCCATTTCCCCCCAGAAACCTAACTCCTCCCACACCCCTAGCCCTATTTACCTACTCTTCCCCTTCATGGCGCAGCTCTCTCCACCCGCCCCCCACTGTGCGTGTGGGTAGAAAGCATCCCAGGGGAGTTGGTCCTTCCCTCAGTCCGAGCCCCGGGAGGCTCAGGCTCCTTCCTTGAGCAGGCCACGGGGGAGCCGGTCCTTGTGTAGCCATGCCTTCTCGTCCTCCCGGTACGGAGCAGGAGGAGCCCAGCAGATGCAGGAAAGACAGGCGAAGCAAAGCTACTTCCGCCTGTTGCATTGCCTAGTCAGAGAATGGGAGCGCGCTCTTGCAAGCGAGAATTTGTTCCCGGCAGTGCCTCCTGGGCTGGAGGGAAGGCTGGTGGCAGAGGCAGAACAGGTCGCCGGTCACAGTCTTGATGCGCCTGATGCAATCGGATTGCATTGGCGCCCCTTGCATAAATTGCATCGTTGCTCAGTTATCTTCCCTTTTAAGTTGCTGTGCCATTGATACATGGAAAGTACGGAGGAAAGAAAAAGGGGTGCAAATGGGGGTGGGGAGGGACTGGTTCGGCGGGCACGAAGCGAACCCTTTCATTCGCTAGTATAAATGGCAGATTCCTCCTGGCAGGTTCTCCCCCATTCTGTCTCCTCCCCGCCCACCGGTGCATTCGAAAACCGAGATAGGGAACTGATCTGCGCATATACTATTCCTTAGCGAGCTGGAAAAGATAAAAAGATGCATCACCGTCAATGAGACTGCTAGATCAACAGGGGGGAAGGGGGGGGGCGGAGATTGCAGAGGAGTGGTTGCTACCCGTTCAGTGTTCCAAAAGGGAATCAAGGCAGCATTATATCTTTTCTTATAGCGCTGGAATATTCAGCCAAAATGGAACATCTGTAGATTTCCTAAGTGCCCGAAGCATAAACCGGGTTTGCAAGAGCAACAGGAGCGGGAGTTTGTTGAGCGTCATGAAGAACTGCATCAAACCTGGGAAGCTATAAAAGGGCAGGGTTGGTAGGAAGCAGGTGAATGGTGCAGCCCTAAACAGAGCTGCACCCTTCCGAATCCAGTGGACTGAGAAAAGTGTAACTCCGTTTAGGATTGCACTGTAGAGTAAGCCACAAAAGAGGCGGCGAGGGGGAGGGCGTAGGATTCGAAACCCGGGGAGAAAATCCCGTGGCTTGGAAGGACGCTCGCTTCCGTGCAGTAGGTTTAGAAATCATGCCAAGATTTAGTCGGGGAAAAGAGACTCCGAAGCGGGATCCCGAGGCACAGCAGGGGACGTTTTCCTGAAAGAGGCGTTTAGCAAAACAGAAGATCTGCATGGCAGAGCAGAGCCCTGGGACTCACTCGGAAGCCGAGAGCGAGAGAAGAGACGCTAACCTGCTAACCTTTCCGGAGGCGCGCGGAAGAGAGGGGGGTGGTGGAAATCCTGGGGGTGCCCATTTAGGCAGGGATTGCTCGCTGTGACTTCCCTTGGCCTCGTCTCTGCCTGAAGACACTCCCCGCGGGGGGAGCGGGGAGGAGAGGAGCGCGCCAGACAGCCCGCCTGGAGTCCGTGCCTCTTTTTCCTGCACGTCCAATAAGCGGAAACTCTACCCCGCCAAAGCGAGGCAGCTCCCTCCTGGCCAGAGGCTGCGTGCGCGCCTCGCCCGCCAGCGGGGAACCAGCTCGAGATTTCCTCCCTCCCCTCCCCCGGAATGCCCAGTCCCCCGGGGGTGGGCAGGAGAGGGCGGGGGCTGCCACACCGAGAAGCCCCTCCCTGATCGCCGCAGCACCTGTGGAGCACGAGGCGATCGGGGCCCCGCCGCCTCCCTTGCGCAGAGCGGATCCAAGGCGTCCCTGGGTTTGGCGCGTCCCTTGCCAAGGCGCTGCCTTTTTTCCTTTTTTTTTGGTGCCACGCCCGGGTTTGCAGGACGCCGCCGAGCTGCCGCCGCCGCTCTTGCTGCTCAGCATTCGAGGGGCGAGAGGAGCGAAGGGCCGGAGCGATTGGGACGTGCCCGCCGGCTGGCCGCGCAACATGAGGCGAAGAGCGGGCGAGCAGTCGAGGCGAGCGGCGGGAAGCGCCTCGGGTCGCTTGGGGATTTTGCCACACTGAAAGACTGAAGGGGGAAAAAGAGAGAGAAGGGGAGCCTCGGACCCTGGTCGGTTGCTACGGAGCGGCTCCCGAGTCTCCTCGGGATGGGGAGGAAGGGCTCTTCCTAAATGCCTCGCTTGCGGCTTCCCCGGGCGGGCGTGCAACAAATGGCAGCCAAGCCTGTGATCCGGGCTGCAGTCGCAGCAGCGGCGACTCCCAGGTGAGGCTTAAAGGCTCCGGTCTGCAAGCTGCAGCTCTCCATGCCTGCCTGCGCCTCGCCTTCCCTTCCTGAGTCACCCCGCCGCACTTGGTAAGGCTCGGGGAACTCCTGGGCACGCGTGGGGTGGCGGGTTTTGATGCCTGGGGTGGGTGGATGGGGGGGCCGAGTGAGCGTGGAGCCCTGTGCCAACTTCAGATCACCGGGGTCTCTCGGATCGTTCACATTTCGCTGAGCCCGCTTCCCCCACCCCCACTGGGGAAGAAAGCCCAGTATGTAGAAAGGGTGGGGAGTTCGTGTCAAGAAAGGACGGTGAGGTCCGCGGGGGAGGGGGGAAGCATAGGTTGAGGACAGTGGAATGTCCTGATCGGACGCTGGTCGCGACCTCAAAATGCGACGCTGAGATGAGAAATTTAATGGTTGGTGATGTAGAGATCCTCAAGAAGTGGAAACTGGCAGTGTGTGTGTGTGTCTCTGTGTACATTTTCTCTGTATGGACTGGGTAGGGCGGTACTAACAGTAGCATCTTTTTAACAAATGGAATTCCACACCCTTTTAAAACACTTGGGGCGCATGGGTGTGCAAGAGAATGTAACATATTGTCACATAGTCTTTGGAGAGGATAAGACACCAAATCAAATATTCAGAGTGGTCCAGTGTTTAACTCAGAGGGGGAAGGGCCAAACTACATAAGGAATTTGACACAACAAATGTAATGGAAAGGTGACTTCAGAAATACAAACAAAAGGATATTCTGGAGGGGAAAAGAAAGGAGTCTAAGAAATACAAGAGAAATGGTACTTGGCAGGATAAGTTGGGATGGAACACATTCTGGTGCTAGGTTCATGGTGATGTTCTTCATGATAGGATGTTCACATGCTTAACTTTTGCTTATGACTTCATTAAAGGGCTGTCAATAACAGGTGCGGAGTGAGCATGTGGTATCAAAGTCCAGAATATGTAAACTACATTATGAACTGACTCTCCCTAGTACCTTTGCCATGCCCTACACAGTATCTGTTTCTGGTATCCGATTGTTTGGTCCAATTTAGTAGTATTTTGTCTCAAAGTGTCAGAACAATTGCTGGAATGATAGGATGAGTTCTGCAGCCCTTAGTCCTTCAGATAAGCCCTGATGTCATTGAACAGATTTGTGTAAATAAGTTTTGCTTACAGGCTGTCACCGAGATGGGATCCATTAATGCAGATGGGAGATGTGGCACTAACTGACTTGCACCCCAAAATTAAGTTTGAACCTAGCCATCTTGACCTTTCCGAAGTCAATGAGAAATAGTGCCTTTGACTACCAACAGGAAAAAAAAGTCAGATCCAAATCCAAGCTGTATTTCCATTGCCTTTGTATTGCTGATAAGAAGTACTTGGGCCTTTAGTAATCTTACATGTGCTGTTGCTGGAAAAATCATAGCTTCTAGGTGCTGAGAAAGGTGATTACCGATAAGCCACATGTGCTAGGAAAGAGAAGGTAATGAACATAAAGACTTTTTGCAGCCAAATCTAATGGGAAGCTGGGTTTGGACCGGTTTCTATCTCTTTCTTATCAATGCCTTAACTCAGTCAGCCTCTTAACATCCATCTTTTGGAACCACTTTGGAAAGCAAGGCCTTGTTTATGTGTTCAGTTATGGAAGGATAACAATCCATTAATTCACTTCAGCTCCTGGTTTGTTTATGCATTCAAGGGATGAAGTGAGGTGAAATCATACAGTCGGGCACTGTTGACTCTTCTTCCTTTTAACCCAAGGGTATGTGATTGTTTAAAGAGCAACAAGGTCTTGCCTATGCAGATGGGTGGAGTTCGGTGTTCGGTGCAAACACTGAGATGTATGAATAATGTGAGATGATGAGCCAGGATGTTTTGCAGAAACATACTGTGATGATTCCAGGATGATAGTCCCGAGTCAGTGCCCTCAGAAAACCCTGGTACTCTCTCAGGATGTTGCCAGTGACTTGGAGGGAAACATAGGGCAAGAAATAATTGTAGGAATTTGCCTTCTGAAGGCAAAATTGTGGAAATTCTACTTAGAAATTACATTTCTGTTGGGGAGGGGGAGGGAAATAACACACTCCCAGTAATTTGCCTACATTTGGAGTCATGTCACTGTGCTTTGTCTTTTCTTTGAAAAAAGTGTATTGACAATAGTGGGATTAGCTGTATAGACAAAGCAAGGTGGACAGAGCCTCTTGCCATTCATTTCAGAAAGGTGGTATGTTCTTGGGTTGAATTGCTATTTTCAGTCAAATTATTCATATTTGCTAAAGTAGATGCACAAAGCACCCCCCACAAGGGTCAGTTTTAAAATCTCATTGGTGTCAATGGCAGACTTGAAATTAAAGGGGGTCAAAAAGCGGTTAGTTTGGCTGGATCATGACCTTGGTTGCTAGCTGGGTGTGGAAACAGAAGGAATAACTTTCTAGAGGCGTAAAAGCTCTTTGATGGAAGGAGAAGATAGAAATGGACTAGAGGAACAAAATGCCTAGTTAGAAATGTTTGCCTGACCTAGAATCCAACTTTATTGGTTCTAGATCAATAGAAGACCTTCCTGTTGAGCTTAGGGTCTGTGTGTGGCTCTATTAAAAGAAAAATGAGCAAAATTATAGCATGATTTTTTTTTAATGAGAGAGGAGGCCTAAGGAAATAAAGAATAATTGGAAAACAGTTTTTAGCAAGTAATACAAAACCAACTAGAACAATTTCTGAATGGAAAGCTTTGGCAAGATTTTTTTAAAGTTGTTAATAAAAAGCAATTTATCTTAATCTAGTGAGAAAACAGCCTTTGTGTTCATCCTTCTGAATCTGCTATATTGGAGAAAGGGAGAGAAAGAGCAAGGAAACAGACTCAGCGCCCAAGGAGCCCAGACAGTACTTGTGACCTACCTACAGAGGGATACAGATTGATTGTGCCCTCTGATCGCACTTTATGAAGTACAGAGATGTATTGCTGACCAGCAGACCAACAGAGAGGAATTAGGGGGTTCCTAACATGATCCTCTTAAGAGTCAAAATAGTGTGGAAACCGCCATGAAGAGCTACAGACAAGCAGAGATTGTGGGCAAGGAGCCTGCCAACAAAGGTGGATTTTTCATAAGAAACAAGAGACCGTAAGGAGGGTCCGGCTGGATTGGACCAATTGCCCATCTGATCCAGTATCTTGTTTTCTGCCATGTCCAACCAGGTGCCCCAGAAAGTCTCCAGCCAGGCATGGAATCCAAAGCACCTCTCCGTTGCTGTTCCCCCTGGATTTAGATTTAGACAGAATCGTTCGATTTAGACAGAATGCCTGAATAATAGCCAAATAACAAATGATTATTTTTCATGAATTGCTTTTTGAAGCCACTACACTGGCAGTCATCAGTGCATCCTATAGCAGTGAGTCCCACAAGTAAAATATGTGTTGTGTGAAGAATGCTTTTTTTTTTTTGCTTTCGTGAATCTACTGCTTAATTGGTTTCCTCTCTACCTTCTGAGTTCTAATATTTTGTGTCAGGAAAATTGTCACTATTTTCTCTGCACTGTGTACAATTCTATAAACTTCTGTCACGTTCCTCATAATTCCCCCCTCCTTAAATTCAAGAGATCCAGACTCTTTAACCTTTGCCAATTGGAAGGTGCTCAGATCCATTGCTCCCCCCCAATCTTTTCTGGTTTTACAATGTCCTTTTCAAGATGGGATAAGCAATACCCAGAACTCTATGTGGTATTCCAAATGAGGTGCCATCATAGGTTTATAGTAGGGCATTGCGGTATTCGCTGTTTTATTTTCAGTGCTTTTCCCAATAATATGATGGAATTGGCCCTTTTCACCACTGTCACACAGATCAACCCTAATCTGCTAAGTCTACTGTAGCAATCTTCAGGAGCAATCTACTGAAAATCATGCTCAGGTCTGTTCAATGGGGTTACTCCCAGAAAAGTGCTGTTCGGGTTGAGTTTTGTTACTTTTACTAAGCCGTTCACCATGATCTCAGGATCTCTTCCCCGGTTAGGCACTACAGTTTTAAACGCCTTCCATAATTATGTAAAAGGTTTATTGAGTGACGTTCTCATGCGTGAAGGAGAAATGCGAATTATAGTTCAAAACTGATCCTGTTGATATTCTTTCAGACATCCCTTGCTCAGTTGGCATTACAACTTTTGCTGTGTGCAGCATGTGTCAACAAGAGCTATGAGTTCTTTCTTTAGACTGATAATGGCCCCTGCCACACGGCAGGAAAAACACCTGGCAAAGCGCGGCTAAAAAGAGCTGCATCAAAAAAGAGGCGCGCGGGCGGGATCCCATGGATCCCGTGCGCCGTTGCTCCCCGGCACGATCACATGCCGGGGAGGAAGGGAGGATCGGGAGAGGAGGCTGCCGAACTGCACATGCTCACGCATGCGCAGTTTGGCTGGGGGCCGGGGATGAGCCAGCCGCAAGACGCGCCGCCGATCCCATGGCCAGGGTGATGCGGGGCAAACGGATGAACCACCGAAGGTAGGTGGCTCAATTTTGAAGCGCGTCAACGGGGGAAGGGCCGGATCGGAGACGGGAGCGCAACGCCAGCCAGATGTTGGCGTGGGATCGTGCCCGTTTGCTGTGCTTCCAATCCGGCCCACTCCCGGCCCAAACTGCCTCGTATGAACAGGGCCACTGTGTACCTTCTTCAGTTTAGGTATAGGAAACTGGCTGTCAATGAGGTCCATGTTGCAAAGAGGTATGTGTTCGACTCATGAACACAACATGAAGTTTCGATATATCCATTGCGACACGGCATCTGCTGAAAAGTTCATCTTTGAAAAGCACAGAGCTATGCATTTTGTTTTTTATTTTATTTATTTTTCAAATGTATATTCCGCCCTTCCCACGAATGGGCTCAGGGAGGATCACAACAAATAATTAGGCCATTCGGTTTCACAGAAAACACAATAATAAATAGTTAATTAAAACACATTAAAACAAAAAAAATTAAAAACAGATTGCCCCAGTCGTTGCATAGTCTTCGATACTGGTATTGCTGGACTTTAAGTTTGTTTAATCTGGACTGCATGGAAGTGGCGTCTTCAGCAGGGGAGGCTGCCTTTTTTTTACTGGACGCCTG